TATATTAAAAAAACCAAAAGGTGAAACAGAGCAATCTGCTTTTGCTGTGAGTGAAATGGGAAAATGAAACAGCCAGCCTAAATTCCACAACATAAACTAGCCTATCAGACTACTTTAGTTTTAACCTATATGGCACTGCATGTGACACAAGAGGGAATGTGTGAGGTTTTTAAAATAAGATGACAGAGCACCTTTCAGTCTTTCCAGGGCCTGGGTAGGGAAAATCGTAATTAATTGGAAAAATATCTGACCATAGTAAATTTCAAAATGCTCCATGCAGTGTGCTCTCTGGAATGCACTAGACAACGCAGTATGGGAAGGAGGTGGACAGCCCTTGATGGGGAAAGAACAAGTTAGGAACTACAGTAAAACTCTGGTGGTCCGGCATCCAGTGGTCCGGTATGACTGATGGTCCGGCACCAACTGCAACCCGGAAGTGCTCCGGCAGCTGCTTCAAGTTGTTAATCAATTACACTAACTGCGGCTGGATCTGCAGGTGACAGGCTTGCAATTTATCTTTGCTCTATCTATTGCCCCTGGGGGGCAGGAGGGGAAGGAGAGAGGAAGGAGAAGGGGACCGAGGTTGGGGGCGCGGGCGCCACACTCTCCGTCATGTTGCAGGGTGCTGGAGAGGGGGCAAGAGGCAGGCAGCTGCTTCAGGAATTTCTAGTCAATTACACTGCCCCGGGCTGGATCCACAGCGACAGGCTCTCAGTCTACCTTTCCTCTCTACTGCTTGGAGGAGGGCATATGACTTAGCAACTCCTGTTTCTGATCAGCAGTATTTTGCTACAGTTTTTCTCACCTTGTTCCTTGGTTCGCTTTAATCCAGTTAGGCTTTATCAGTATTTGAAAACTGTTATTTTAACCACTTAGGGGGTATTATCTTAAAGAAATTGAAATGTTAATTGCCTAAATTGACGTGGAAATCATAAAGCAAAATCAATCTTTCATATATCAAGGAATTTTGCTAAGAGTATCTGTAACAGTGTTTCTCACAGCTTTTGCTACTTCATCTCTACATTCCCTATTGATTTGCTTCCATTAAAACTAATTCAGAGGTTCTAAAGCTTCTAGGAGTTTAAAACTACCAGCAGGTTTTTTTTTTTACTACATTAAATACTTGCCTGATGTGACAAGTATCAGCTTTAGACTGGCGCCAATGAATAAATCTTTCAACTGTCGGGCTTGTGCCAAGGTTCCAAGATCGTAGATCTTAAAATCATAAAGTATGAAAAGTGCTATATTATAATGATTGAGTTTCTAAATCCTCATTTTCTGAGCCCTATACAATGGATAAATTTATGTTCTGCTTTTATAGGTGGAAGGGTTAAAAATAAAACTTGCCTAGGGTGAGGATGTGATGACTAAGGTCAGGTGAAATGGTCAGCATATGCATACCACCGCTATGGGTATTTGTGTAGGTGTTGTCATGAATGTCTGTCTCTGTATGCATAGAAATTATAAATGTATCTGTGTATTTGTATACGGTTCAGACTTGAGAGTTGACAGCAATAAAATGAATGGAAGCATCTCATACTTCTTAAGGTATGTCTGCATTGCAGTTAAAAGCTTGCGGCTGACCCACCCAACTGGCTCTAAGTGACTGTCTAAATTGCAGTGTAGATATTCAGGCTAAAGCTGGAGCTTAGGCTCTAAGACCCTGTGAGGTGGAAGGGTCCTGGCAGCCCAAGTCCAAACATTTGTAATGCAATTAAATAGTCCCTTAGCCTCACAGGTCAGCCACAGGTGTCTGTGTAGATATACCCATATGCAATGTCTCTACTTGAAGCTTAGGAGTGTGATTCCTAATTCACATAAACATACAATAATACTCATCGAGCTAGCATTCTAAAAATAGTAGTGTAACCATGGCATCACAGGCAGTTGTAAGCAGGAGTGTGAGGTGGGAGCCACACTATCTACAAATCCAGGGCCAGCCCACAACATTTTGGCACCTGAGGTGGGGAACTCAAATGATGTCCCCTTGCTTGGGCAAGACTTTGAAAGGTCTCAATTCTGCCTTCTTCCTGTTCTACTTTTCTCATGGTACTGCAGAGAGAATACATATGCACCAGCAGCAGACACAATTTTCTACACTCTGGGTCTAAGTGGCACTCCCCCACAGTCTGGCTCTTGAGGTGACTGCCTCAGTTTGCCTCATGGTAAGCCAGTCCTGTACAAATCTGTGGTATCTAGATGGGCTCTTCACCCTGAATACAAACCTATGCTGCTGTTGCTTGCCACTGCCTCTGGAGCTGTTGCTGCAGTACTGTTTATTGTGTTAGCTCTGTGAGAGCTACCATGAGTTTCTGCTCAAGCAGGAATCACACACTGAGCTCCAAATGTTAGATGTAGTCTGAGCTATTTTAGTCCAGGCAGTGCTAACTGGCTGACATTCAAAGGTCTGTCTTACTCTAATGGGCTAGAAACTTGTATTTAAAAATGAAACCTTTTATTTTGCAACATCTAAGTTCCAATGATCAGCTTGGTGCACAGTGGTCTTCGCTGTTTTAAAGCTTTTAATACGCCAAAACCTGCATACTTGAGCTTCAGTCTTCTGCTTTCTGATATCCATTTTTAAGCATTGATGTAGCCCATTAGTCAGTGCATGTCATGCATCCTCCGTGTGCCCAATCCACCAAAGAATGCAAATCTGTTAAGTTTGCTTTTAGCTCTGGAGGTCCCTGATTTTTCAGATGACACTATGCTATGGGGAGAGGTAGATACACTGGAGGGCAGGGATCGGGTCCAGAGTGACCTAGACAGATTAGAGGATTGGGCCAAAAGAAATCTGATGAGGTTCAACAAGGACAAGTGCAGAGTCCTGCACTTGAGAAACAATCCCAAGCATTGTTACAGGCTGGGGACTGAATGGCTAATTAGCAGTTCAGCAGAAAAGGACCTGGGGATTACAGTGGATGAGAAGCTGGATATGAGTCAACAGTGTGCCCTTGTAGCCAAGAAGGCTAATGGCATATTAGGGTGCAATAGGAGGAGCATTGCCAGCAGATCCACAGGAGTGATTATTCCCTTTTATTCAGCTCTAGTGAGGCCACATCTGGAATATTGTGTACAGTTCTGGGCCCCCCACTATAGAAAGGATGTGGACACATTGGAGAGGGTCCAACGGAGGGCAACCAAAATGATTAGGGGGCTGGAGCGCATGACCTATGAGGAGAGACAGGGATTTGGGTTTGTTTAGTGTGCAAAAGAGAAGAGTGAGGGGGGATTTGATAGCAGCCTTCAACTTCCTAAAAGGGAGGTTCCAAAATCACAGTAGTGACAGATGGCAGAACAAGGAGCAATGGTCTCAAGTTACAGTGGGGGAGGTCTAGGTTGGATATTAGGAAAAACTGTTTCACTAGGAGGGTGGTGAAGCACTGGAATGGGTTACCTAGGCAGGTGGTGGAATCTCCATCCCTAGAGGTGTTTAAGTCTCAGCTTGACAAAGCCCAGGCTGGATTGATTTAGTTGGGATTGGTCCTTCCTTGGGCAGGGGGCTGGACTTGATGACTTCCTGAGGTCTCTTCCAGCTCTATGATTCTATGAATGGACTGAAGGGCAGTCTAGCTGTAGTGTGAACACAGGATGTTAACCCTTTTCCTTTTGCTATTTGGTCCAGCCAGCTGACTAGTGGAGCTTACCATAGGAAATGTTTGCACACTTTGAAAATCCCATTGTCCCAGTCTGTTCATCTTCATTTCAGTGCAGGAACATTACACCTGTATGATGTGCCTGAACCTCTCTATGGAACCAGAGCCCGATTCCCGTCCTGAACTCTGGTCTCCTAGATTACAGAACTCTGCTGGCCCATTGTTAAACCTGGCTTAATATCTAATGTCTTGGTCAAAATGAGAGGAGCTACAGAAGCAAGACAGGAGAATGCCACATGCAATGTTTTTAAATAGAAATGCTACATGACAGGCAACTGGGATTGACTCTAGCGAAATGAGAGAGCCTTCTGGGATCTTAGCTCTTGTAGTGTTTGGCATCTGCTGTGTAGTTAAGGGCAGAGTCAATAGGAATGGAGGGGATGATGAAAGTACTTCTGAAGAACAACCCTGAGGGAATGACACCTAAGACAAGTGAGCACATTCAGAACAGATAGTGATGAATCTGAATGACAGAAATGGCGAGGAGATGATGACAGGAAATATGTATGTGGCTTGATGACCTGATGGGAAGGCAGGCAAGACTGAGGCCATAGTGATGAGAGAGGCCCTAAAAAATAAGCAGTTTTCTGTAAGTACCTGAGTGGAAAGTTCCTCTCCTGTTCACTGAATAAGCATTTTCCAATGACTTTTGGACATGTTCTCAGGGAAGTAGCAGGGTCTGGGTTGCCACAGTCTCTGTGTGTGTTCATTGAACATCTGGTACAAAATCCAGTCCTGATATAATCAGGCAGATTTACACTAGCAGCCTAGCAGTTATGTATCTGTGACCAGCATCATGTCAAGGCCACTGAGCTCTGTCGTCCTTGCTCACTTGTGCTCGTAGCTTGGTGAATTCTCTTGTGGTTTGCTTCTGTTCCTTAACTCTTCCTAGACTCATTCCATTTGTCTCTTGCCTTTTCTAGCTTCCCCTGGCTTCTTTTTCATGTCTCTTGTTCTAGTTCTTACCATGTTTCACCAAGAACCCCTTTCACATATGCAATCATATGTGTCTACATATAATTTCAGTTGAGTCCTTTTTATACACTTGATATTAACCCAGTTCTGGCATCAACCTTTGTTGGCTCTAAAGATCATTAACATTGTACAGTTATAAGAAGGCCAACAAAATCTTGTAGGCTAACAATACAAATTTGCTACATGCAAAATTCTGTAAAGCCCCTTCCCCTGCAAATATTTTGTTTCCATCATATGGTTTGCAAACACAGCAGAGAGGAATAAATACTTTGAACCTGCAGGGGATGTGTTTGCTATGAAATTCCTGCAGCTCTAGGGTTTTAGCTCAGGTGCATCTTGAGTTGCTGACAGGGGCTGCTCTTTCCTTAGGTGATGAGGCATGAAAACTCCAGCATTCTGGAACTGGATGGAAAGGAGGTCTCTGTATTCACTCCTTCCAAGCCCAGAGAGAAGTGGCTGCGGAAGAGGACACATGTTAAGCTAAGGGTAATAGTGTTTTATTACAAGTCTCACCTGCTATTAAATGATTTGGGCCTGCATGCAATAAGAGCAATATAAAAGTTAACCAATATGGGTACAACTCTTCTATGCCCTTTGACTACACATTTACATTAGCTTGGAGACATTGCACTGTGATAATCACATCTCAGTGAGATATCCCAGTCTCAGACTGTTGGAAAACACAAACACACTAAGGATCTGCAACAAGGGCCGTAGGTTCCCTATCCCTGTGCTAAATTGCCCATATAGTAACTGTGTTTTCCCAGAATTCCTGATTCCAGAAGATAAGCTTCTCTGATTTCTGTGAGTGGAAGTTTGTTTAACCATTAAAAATGTCAGCAAACTCCTGCTGATAATCAGTCATTTTGCCTCCTAATTTGAAAATGTAATACACAGAATTTTGCACTGCCAGGGATGAGATTTTCAATATGTTCTGTGACTAGAGTAGTATTTTTAGAGTGACAGTATCATTGTGCGACATCATGGCAGATGCATGCATTAAGGTCCAGAATTTCAAAGGACAACCTTAACCTTTGCAGACTCAAGTTTTGCCTTTAAGGAATGGCAGCAGGAAAGCCAAGTAGAGACCCATTCTGAAAAAATGTCCAATATTAACTAACTGCAGGTGAAAATTCTATCATTTAGATGAGAAAGTAACTAACTGTACCCTTTCACTCAGATATCAGCTGCTTGTCCACATGCATTAGGATCCACACCCACAATTGATTGTACAAATCATGTGGCCATAAATTATTGTAGCTAAAATGGGAGACCAAATGCAGAAGGCCCTTTAAAAGTTTGGTCCTAAATGTACAATATTTTTTTTTCTTAATGTGTTGTGCTGTTTAATATAGCTATATAATAGTGCAGGAAGGGGATGTCATGAGAAGAAAATTGTCCATGTGTTTGGCATTACTGTAGCACCTTTTCCTGTAAACTGCATTAGCCAGGAGGCTCTGCTGAGAATTTAACTAGGTTTGTTCTGTTTTTCACCTGACTTCTGCAGAATGTCACAGCCAACCACAGAATAAATGATGCCATCGCTAATGAAGACGGACCCCAGACCTTAACAGGAAGGTTTATGTATGGGCCATTAGACATGGTCACGCTCACTGGGGAAAAGGTACATTTGTCTTAGTGTGCATTGCCCAGAAATACAGCAGAAGAGGTAGGAAGTAGTAGTTGCCTACCTCTGCTCTTTTTGTATCTGTAATGAGAACTGACCAATTATTGCAAGTCAAGCCCCTTTGCCTGTGTCCACTTTAAAAGCCTCCTCTGTCCAGCCTAGGCATAGCATTGCACTAGACAGGCTTGAGGAGGCCCTGTTCAGAGCCAAGTTAGGATCCTGTCTAGTGTTAATGTTTTCGGTTGTATCCAACCCCCCAAAATGAGCCCTTTCTACCGTTCATTTCAGTGAGGCTTGGATACCAAGTTCTGGGTTTGGCCCATTTCTACATGAGCCATATCTGTATTTAATACTTCCTTAGTCCTGAACCACCTCTTCCTTCCAGGTGGACATTCACATCATGACCCAACCGCCATCTGGAGAGTGGATTTACTTTGACACCGAAATCAGCAACAGCAGTGGCAGGATTTCCTATGTTATCCCTGAGAACAAGCGTCTGGGGATTGGTGTATATCCTGTCAAGATGGTGGTCAGGTGCTGTGCTTCAAGCTCATTTGGCTTAGCCCACAGTTTGACAGGAACATCTGAATATATCTGTAGACACTTAGCTATTCACTGCATGATAGAAAATCCATATAAGTGTGAAGTGCAATTCTACCTGAAAAGTGACTATTTAAAAAGTGGCTTTTTCTCTCTGCTTCCTATTGTGTCTTCAGCGTCTGATCTTCTGACTTGATGCACAAAACAATTTTACTCCTGTTACCCTGCAGCATAAGCAATGGGACAAAAAGCTATATTCTGTGCTGCCTCCTGCATTGTCAAAAGCATTGTTAGCTGAGTTCCCATTGCTGGGCCAGGCTTTTCCTCCTTTTCCAGACATATAATTATCGTCTTCATGGAACTGTATAGATGAGCACATCTTGAAAACTGTAAACTTGCCCAGGTTCCCCCAAGGGTAGAGCCTTTGTTATTAGTGATGCTGCAGAAAGTCTGCAGCTTGACTTTTGGATCACCAGCTTTCAGAGAGAGCAGTGCCAAAAAGCTTATCCATGGTGAACTGAGCAAATCTGTTTCAGAAGCACTGAAATACACTGCAGTTGGAATCCCACAATGCTAGTTCAAGTCACTGTAATTATATTCCAATAACATACAGGCATTTTCTGTAGTATCGTTAATGATTTTGGTGCAGATTTTTTAAGATATTTAATAGAGAGCTGGTGTTTCATAAGTGCCCAACTGCCATTGGTGAAAGGCCCTGTACTGTCTCTCTGGGAGGGGGGGAGAGGGGGAGAAGAGTTGGTTGCTTTTGAAACTCCCACTAGGCAGCAGTGTGCAAATATAAGTGCCTTAAATATCTTTAAAAATGTGTCTCTCTATCCTTGCAATAATGCTTCCAGGTAGCATCATCCATTGGACAGATGAACAACTGAGACACAGAAAAATGACTTGCCAAGTCAGGAATAGAACCCATTATCTCCTGAGTCTTATATCAGTGCCTTAGACACAAGAACTTTCTTTGTCTGTGAATACATAACTGTCAGACTAGTGCATAGTCCTTTCTACCACTTGTGCTGAGATACAGACACAAGCCAGAAGTGCTGGTATAAATCAAAATAGCATTGAAATCAGTGGATCTGTGTTGATTTACATCACAGATACTGCAGGGGTAAAGGGCCTTAGCAGAATTGGTGTGTGAAGTGATAGCAGGATCCATCCCTTAATTCTGCATTCCCTGGTCGTTTACTGTATGCTTGCTGAATTGGTATTGTAAATGGATTTTAATCTCTCAGCTAGGCTTATCCATTGCTCTTAACCCCCTTTTTCTTTTCTTTCAGGGGTGACCACACATATGCAGACAGCTATATCACCGTTCTACCTAAGGGGTCAGAATTTGTAGTCTTCAGCATTGATGGTTCCTTTGCAGCCAGCGTGTCTATAATGGGTAGTGATCCTAAAGTCCGAGCTGGTGCAGTTGATGTTGTAAGGTCTGTGGCAGGGGCTAGGGCTGGGGGAAATGCCATTGTATTCAGTGAATATTTTAACCTTGCTGCAAATATAGGTCTATAATAAACTGTTTCTTTTTCCCCCCCACTAGGCACTGGCAAGACCTTGGCTACCTCATTATCTACATCACAGGCCGACCAGATATGCAGAAGCAAAGGGTGGTGGCATGGTTAGCACAGCACAATTTCCCCCATGGGATTGTCTCGTTCTGTGATGGGCTTGTCCATGACCCACTGCGGCACAAGGCCAACTTCCTGAAAAACCTCATTACCGATGTAAGCATCAGCTATACTGAGACATGAGCAAAGCGCGGGTTCATCCACTTGTTGTGGCTTAGTGCCTGGGTGTTAGTTAAGACCTGACCTATAGTTAGAGATTAGTCTGCATTCGTTTGATTTTTATCCACCCTTCCTCATTTTTTGAGGAAGGACGGCTCTTGCGCAAAAAGGGGGGTTTTGCACAAAGAGGAGCTGTCTACACAGTGCTTTTTTGTGCAGAAACCTCTTGCACAAAAGGGATCTGAGGAAATGCAAATGAGATTGCAACATATGCAAATGAGCACCCATTTGCATTTCCTCTTGTGGAAGAGGATCATAATATAGACATAGCCATAGAGAAGTGATCATCTGAAGAGTCAGACTTAGAACCCAGGAATCCTAGCTTTCCACGCTAACCATGAGATCACTTTGCCTCTCTCCAGCAAAAGCTGTGCATATTCTCTGTAGCAGGTACACAACCAAGGAAGTAAATAAGAGTTAATTGTCTTGATTGTACTCCCTTATCAACATGAAGGGTGAGGGAGCCAAATTAGTGATCTCCAAGGCCCAGAATATTCACAATCCCCTTTCAAATGTTCCTTACAAGATCTGGCTCTCTTTCAGCATGGAATTTAATTACCAAGTTTTAAAGAGGCTATTGATGTCAATAAGACCAGACAACGTAAAAAATGTGAAAGCAATAGAAAGGCACCAGTTTTACTGCATGCAGTTAAATCCAGTCAATCCAAAAGGGTATTATAGAGTGGAGAATAAAGTACAAAATAAAACCTACTTCACAGACTCAGTTTTTAACGACTAGCACAGCAGGCTCTTTGCCTTGGAGAACCCACAAGGTCAGACAGCATACATTACCATACAGTAAATGGAGAGAGTGCAGAAAAGGACAATAAGAATGATTAACAAGCTGGAGGAAAGATTACAAGAACTATATAGCTGCAGTTTGGGGATAGGATGACTCAGAATGTGACATGCTAAATATCTACTGCATGAGGGGTTGGTAAATTGCAAGGAAATTATTTAGTAATATTACAAGGAGTGATCTCAAAGGAATGAAGAATGCAAACATTTACAATGAATATCAGAAAAACTTCCTGGACCTGAGAGCTACTTGGTGTAACAGCAGCATCCCAGGGGAAGTTGTGGAAGCCTTTTAACTTGTAACATTTTAAACTGGATTGGGCTGAATACTAGAAAATATGTTGTGGGGATTGATTCTACACTGGCTTCTGGGATTGGAGTAGATGTCACTGTTAGTGCTCTTTCAACTCTAATATCAATGGGTGTATCTAGACTACATCCTGCTTTCAACAGAGGGATGTAAATTAGACATTGGAAATTGCAAATGAAGCCGGGATTTGAATTTCCCATGCTTCATTGGCATAATCGCGTCATGGCACTCTTTCAAAAAAGCGCTAGTTCGAAATTGAAACACAGTCTAGATGTGGTTCTTTCAAAAATAGAAGCCTTTTTCAAAATATCCTGTAAACGGTTTACAGGATCTTTTGAAAAAGGCTTTTGTTTTCAAAAGAACCACGTCTAGACTGTGGTTTCATTTTCGAAATAGCACTTTTTCGAAAGAGTGCCATGATGTGATTATGCAAATGAAGCACAGGAAATTAAAATCCCAGCTTCATTTGCAATTCTGAAATCTCTAATTTACATCTCTCTGTCAAAAGAGGGATGTAGTCTAGATACACCCAATATGACTGTGAAATGATTAAGACAGATTTTCATCATGTGATATTTTAGCCTGGTAATTGATGGGTTTTTATCATGTCTTAAACCTAAGTTGTCCGAACTTCCCCTTTATTTCAGTGATAAATTAGGTCTTTTTAAAGGGTCCACCTTGGTGATCTCAAAGTTATCTAGCCTGCTGGTTTAACTATGCTATTGTCTAGCACATTATTCTAAGGCCACAGTACCTTATTCTCCCCAGACCTAGACAGAATGAAAGCCCGTCATTAAGTACTGAATGTGATGACTACTGGAATCAATCTATACTTCAAAATCTAACTCAAGAGTTACTTTGGAACCCCCCATGTGACAGAAGATGTTATATTATTATCCCGTGTTGGAAATGTACCTTTCCTGAGAATAATAAGGTCCCCAGACTTGCTACAATGGATCTTTAGCTTTTAACTCTGCAGGCAGAACTATGCAGGTCCATATCTAGCACCAGGGTAAGCACTTTAACATTGGCAGCGCTCTGCAGACAATCTCCACAGTTGTAAAATAATTTTTTCAAATATCTGGCTAAAGGATAAATGAAATCTTTTGCTCTGTGGGAACAAAGCAGTAAATACTAATGATATAAAAATCTAGTGCATTATGCAAGGTAATATGTATAGCTGTCTGTCTCAACCTCAAAATCCAACAAAAAATAAAATATACAATCTAGCTTACACAGCCTTCAAACTAGAGTTGTGCACTGTGGCTTCTCAGTAGAAGGGAATTATTTGTGTACATAGTTATTGAATATAGTTGAAAAATACCCCTTCCCTGGCTATATCGTGTATAAAACCCCTTGGAACAGAACTGTGGAGTGCCACACAAAGAAAGTACATTAGCTAAACAAAGCTACATTCCCTTTGTAATTGCTAACTGCATTCCTCTCTTGGATTCTATACTATAGCTTAACAGTAATTGGCCTACAGTACAAACCCTTAGTACTGCTGTTAATTAATTAGTACATTCCTCTGCAGAGTATTGCCCAGCTGGGACTTGCAGGGCGTTCTTGAATGCATATTCCCACAGTTGCTGTGAAAAAGCCAGGTGTGCTGAATAGTGTCATAGCAGAAACTTGTTCCCCCTTCCCACAGCTCCACATGAGGATCCACGCCGCATACGGATCCACAAAGGATATTTCAGTCTACAGCTCCATTAGTTTGCCACCCACACACATCTATATCGTTGGCCGGCCCACCAAGAAATTACAGCAACAGTGTCAGGTAGGAATCCAGGTTATTTTGTCAGTAGAACACTCAATTGGCTGATGCCCCTACTGGAGTCGGTGGGAGTTTAGACACTGACTTCATCAGGATCCCACTGCTTCTCTCTGAGAGGTGTGAGGGTTTCTAGCTTTGTGCATCACAACTATGAAAATAATGGAGTGAAAACGCCAGGTGCTGCTGCTCCACTGCATTGTTTTGTAGTGCTGTAGAATTAATTTTTTTAAATGAAGTCCCGTCCGCTTTAAAATTCACCTTTTGTCTGAACTTGTCCCTGCAGTTACCTCGGCTAAGTGAAGGTGCAGATTAGAATGGAGAATTCTCAGCAGAGCTAATGTCATTTGTGCATGTGACAGTACCATGTATCAGTGTTGGTTGCATCTCCAGTATAGAGCCAGTCAGTTCCCTCTGTTGTTTGTGGGATTTCCCAAAGCAACAGGGCAAAGAAACATTTAAGAAAGTGACTGTCAAACCACAACTGGCAGAACTTAAAGATAGATGTGGGATCTGAACTGATTGTGAGTCCACTTTAAAAAAAAAAGTAGCTTGATTTTAAGTTGACTGTCCCATAAAAGCCCTCTGTGACTATTGTTTCACAGTTCATTACTGAGGGGTACGCAGCCCACCTTGCCCAGTTGGAGTATAATCATCGCTCCCGGCCTGCCAAAAACACAACCCGGATGGCACTCAGAAAAGGCAGCTTTGGTCTCCCCAGCCAGCCAGATTTCCTGCGCAAGAGGAATCATTTGCTACGTACTATCTCCTCGCAGCCCACAGGGGTGAGCGGGAATGCAAGCCACAGACCTGAACGTACGCAGAGCCAGTCGGACAGCGATAGGGAGAGAGATCGGGAGCGCAGCCAAAGAAGCATGAGCATTGCCACTGGGTGCTGGGGCCGGAGCGCAGCCTCAAAACTGGAATCTGGTACTTTGGGACAGAAGTAGAGCCACCTGGGAACCAGTGACAGTCAGCTGCAGTTGCCAGAGGAGGAAACAAAAGGAATAAAGGACAAGGCCAACAGTGTGAGATGGAAGGGTAAATATGGTGCTAATCTCTAACAATGACATGGTGTGCTGGGAGAAAAGGATGGTGTATTTTCTACATGGAATGTGCAGGCCTTAAAACAGTGTGTTGGGTTTGCAGAGCATTAGTCCAGAAAACCATTGGAAATTAAGGATCTAAGGGGGAAAACCTACAGTCTCCACATCAAGACTGTGCTCTTCTGTCTCCTTTTCTTATCCAGAGTTGGCAACTGTAAATACGTGCCTCCCTTACCTTCTTAGCCATCAATTAGATATACATGACTGAGTTCAATCCTCAGTGCCATGGGGGGAGGGGAGAGAATTAATCTGATTAGACTTTTCACTTCAGTTGTTTCATTAGCCAGATAGAGAGACCAATGCTTTTGCATGTGTTTTTCAATGAAGCACATCATTCCCAAGATGCAGAGAGACTGAAGCAAGAAGCTTCTTCTGCACTGGGTAAAGCAATCAAGTGTTTTACACATACAGAAAGCTTAGAATTTACCCACTTTGTACCCAGGGGATGTGTGTCAGCAAGAATCAGCTGCTGTTGGCAGGAGCAGTGTGTCAACAGACTGACTCTCTAGTAAGTGAGGTCATTAGATTTTTGGTTTTTTTTTAAACATTTTGAAAGTGATTGAATTTAATGCATTAAGCTATTAAAAACAAATTTGGTTTCAGCTGTTAAAAATATCAGCCACTTACTTTACTGTATAGATCTCTAATATAACTGCTGTATATTATTTCCAAAACTTACCACCATATATTGGCAAGTGTCTGAAAGTACTCAACAGCCAGATTGCACTGCATTTCCTGTCATCAAAATTCAGGGTCCAAAATATTTCACCACTGTCCCCACCTCAAAGACATTTCTTCTTCTGATGTTCTTTCCAATATCAGTAACAGCTTTCATGGGAATATGACTTTCTTCTTTTAACTATAATTATTCAACTGTAAAACCTCATTGTTTTTGCACTGATAATTTGTAGAATGGAGCCCTGTTACCATCTCATGTAGCTACCCCTAGCTGTTTGTAGTGCATGACAATTAAATATTACTAAGCCAAGGTGTGTGTGTGTATAAACACACACACTCATACACACATTTATCTATCTCTATCTATCTACATAGATATAGATATATATAAATTGTGCCGTTTTTCAACAGTAAGGAGATTGTAAGGAAGTATGCCAACTAAGTTGTTCAAGCTTAGGAAAAGGCCATATCTTCATTTTCCTACTCTCTCTTTCAGTGGATGTGTCTGAGCTGATGGCTTGGTGTGCTGCCATGTCTTGAATCTCTTTTGCAATGTTCCCAGACTTGAATCTCTTTCCATGCTCAGTGCAGAGGTGACATTTCCAGTCTGCAGGAAAATGTGCTGTTGTTTGCTAGCACTCGCTAGCAACCACTGCAGAAGAGGAGATTGTCAGCCATAAGATGTACATAGGTGAAGGATATAATTTAATGGGTAGTAGAGAACAGTGCCTAGAACAGGGGGTTGCCTGAAAGCTCCCTAGCCATGCTCCCTCCCAGGTCAAACTAACCAGGAACCTGAATCCACCCTTGGTGAAGGGAGCAGTTTCCTTCTTGCACACACCAATTAGGGTCTGGGAAATAGCCACACTGGGATATTTGGGGTTCGTACCTGCCTATTTGGCATGAAGATTTTATATTCATAGCACATTCAGTGGCTAAGTATTATCTTGTTCTCCTCTACCACAATATACCGTATTTATATCACTTTATACTTACAAGGATCTTATTTATAACAGATTTTGTAGACTGCTTCATTTTATTAACTGTTTCAGTACTGAATGCAGCAATTCTGCACTGAGACGCATAGCACTGTGAACGCTACCCTGCTAACTGGCTCCGAGCTGCAGTAGGCAAACATAACTCATCCAGATATCAAAAATCTATTTCATGACTACTGCTTAGACCTCAAGTTTCAAAACTAATTCAGAGCATGTGCTCCATTCCTACAATGATATAAAAAGGACAATATTTAACTACTGAAGACTTCTCTTTTGATGGCACTTTAACAAACACAGTGAATCTCACTTACTCTTGGATAGCCTCTTTGCAAACTACTGCATCACTCATCTTTGATAATTAGAGAATTATATAACATACCTGCAGATTTTTACTACTGAAAAAATTACTTCCCTTTCTGCTGACTTGGCCCAGTTACCCTGATTGCATGACCAAAGTTACTGGGTACAAATGTGAATTGTCAGCTTTTTGCTAATTGAATATTGTCCCAAACGATTGCCATCTGACTTAGAAGCAAGCAGCAGTCTATTCCGTAAAGTAACCAAACCATGATCACAAAGCATATTTGCAAATTTGGATATGGCCTTTACAAAGTTCAACCTTACTCTGAAAGAAGAGTCGACAAACCAAGGCATGACGTACATTTTTTTTCAAAATGCAGATGAGATGTTAACATTTTCTTGTGTGTAGATAGTGTAAAACTGAGGATAATGTAAATGTTAAAAAAACAAAAGTCAGTATATACGAAGTGAAAGTTATTTATTTTATGTAGAGAAAAATATCTGGAAGGAACAAACTTCAGAAATTATTAATATTAAAATGTAGCTGTTTTGTTTCAGGCATTATGTATAAATCATTTATTTTATGGACCAAGTTTAATGTAACTGTCCATGACTGCAGAAGTGCAATATTATAATCACCTCTCCATCACTCCATATTTTAAGCCAATAATCAGTGATACTGACAATCATAACACCTGTGTTCTGTCCCTTTGTTAAGCTTCTTGAATTTCCCAGCCTCTCCCCTATCTGTTTCCATTGTAAGAATCTCTAAAGAGAAAATCATGCAAAATCTTTGTTCATTACTGCAATAATATCAGATCTGTGGCCATGTATTAACACGAAATATGCGGCTAGTTTTTTCACCAATACAAGTACACTGTAATTTCCCGTGAATCTATAGTCTCATACATACCTGTCTTATTGTCTGTGTGAAGCAAAGATCAATGTACTACTCTGTCATTCTAAGACCAATAGCAATAGTTTAACTTTGTGTTTATAAACTGCTCTGAAATGTTCTGGGGAGTGATGCATGTGAAACCACATGTCTTTCCAAATGCACAAAGAGGCTTAATTTAGATACAGTTACTGAAAGCTGAATGTATTTTCCATCTTATTAAAGGGGCACTGTCAGGTTAAACACCTTATTTACCTTTGTTACAAATAACAGTTCTGTGTTTAATACTGAAGGAATATTAAAAGTTTATTATACTTTTCACTGTTATGCTGGTTAGTTCCCTTTTGCATTCATCAGCTTAGCCAAGGAAAACAGACAAGTTGGTTCTGGTAACTATCACTTCCTGGTTCTCATGCATTCAGCACAAAGCCACAATATTTATATTGAAAGCACTGGACAGAGATATTTATTTATTTGGGTTTTTTTTAAACCAACCACCTGTTTCTATTGGAATTCAACATTCATGGAAACATTTCTGTGGATCTTATTTTTTTTCTAAAAAGCAGTTTTTTATAATCTCAATGTTAGGGCAGATTTTTACCTGACGCTGTCCATTTCCATTTTTTTAAAATCCAAACTGTCACTTTAATTCCTTATTTTCTTCTTTTGATAAATCATTAAAATGTCAAAATTTTAATACCAAAAAATTGTACAGTGTTAGAAGATACATTAAATGAAAACCAGTAGTTAACCAAAGGGTTACTAACAAACTGCTCTTCCCACAAGCAACCTGCACTTGTAGTAGCCCCTGCTCTTCAGGTATCTTCAGCCTTTGCTGCATTTTCCTATTAGTTCTATAAGCCTTACATTTTTCTCCCTTTCCTTGTATGTAAACTCTGGATATTGATATCCTTGACTGTCGATTTTATATTCAATAATGTTAGTTATATTTTATTTATAAAAAAATATTTTAGGGACACAGATGGGGGGAGGAACTACATCCTGGCTTAATTTGACAGTTATATCTGCACATCTCCAGGGAATGAGAGTTAGACCTGAGTCTGCTGCTTCCTGGTTTTCATTTTGTGTGTGTAAAAAAATGTTAAGAATTATTTGTTCGTATGTAACAAATCATTACTACTGTACAGCTTCCTTCTCCTCCTTGCTGTTTGTGCATTGTTCCAATGCCTGGGTGTGCTTTGTGTACAGTATCTTTGTACATTATGCAGATTAAAAAAAACAGGAAGGCTACTTTGCTTCTTTTGGTGACTTAAACTGATAGTTAATGCATCCCAGAGTCTGGGAATTGAAAGTGTCCAATGGGATTAGATGCTATCTTTTTCTTTGGGAATGATGTAAACTGCTAAGCAGAAAAATACAGGGAGTGCACACACTGACATGAGACAAATGGAAAAAGAGAATTACAAGCACTCTGCTAAGGATTGCAGAAGATGTTCTACAGTCAGCATGTTAATGAAATGATGGGCACAGTAAGTGAACCAATAAGAGTAGGGAACCACCCAACAGCATGTGGATGCTTCACTTTGGCTGCTGGAAAAAGCCTCAGACTAAGCTTGGCTTACCTAAGGGACCATCTCTTATTCCTCCACACAACCTGCTGTTGGCACTACTCCCTTACAATGACCCTTCCAAAAGGAGGGAAACAGCCCCTTTCCTCCACTATCCAGTACAGGGAGAGATTTATCTGGCTCAGTCCTACTCCAGTACCTCACTGTTTGTCCAGGGCTACACACACACACACCCCCCTCCCCAATGCTGGCTCCTGTCAGTGGCCTTGTTAAATATATGGTTCCAGGCAGGTTTGTGCCATAACTAGCTCCTCTATAAAAGGGAAGTGTGTTAACGCCATCTGAACCAGCAACTACAGAGAAATGGAAGATGCATTGGAGGCCTGCTAGCAAACTAAATGGCTTCTAACATATGTGATCAGCTTCCCAGTCAAGGCCTTCTATGAGGCTAGAAAAGTGGCACATAAAACTTTGTTCAAATCATATAAAGGGGTACTTTATTAGACAGTGATTTTACCATTCAGAACAGTTTCTGCCAATAGGCATCAGACCCCAAAAAATGAATTCTTCAGTGGGATTTGTTCAATAAGGTGGAATAAAGGGATCAAAGAAACTACTTAAATCACCAAGGTAAGGCAGTAAAGGTGGCATCTCTGATAGAAGTCAGTGTGGTAATAGCACTTAAGGAAAGCAAAGTAGGGCAGATTTTTATGCTACTAGCAAACCAGTATGCACAAAGGATGGTGGGGACAAGCATTCATTTTAAAGCTTCAGGTATTAGCCTAAACAATTGAGCACACACCTGCAAACATACACAAATCGTGCCTGTCCCCTTGCAACAGACTGGTTTGTCTCATGCACCTGTCATCCCTTCCCACTGGCACATAAATCAATTCAGCAGCCCACATTATTGCTTTAACCAGTTTATTTTTTCAAAGTGTTCAGGTTCAAGGTAAAGGGGAAAAAAACAGATGGCTGAATTTTCCTGAGCTCTTTTAGTTCTGAAAAGACCAATTTCATTCACATAGAGCAGCAAGCCCTCTGTACAGGTCAGAGTTCTGTCTGGCCTAGGGGCTGTAAGCAACTAGTGAACTAATCCCACCGAACACCCCCTTGCTGCCTCTATATCAGAGGCACCAAAGCAAGGGAGCAGGAACCAGTGCTAGAAAGAGCTGGCTTAAAAGCAGTTTTCCCCCTGCACTGTCTCTGCGGGAGAGGGGAGGCAGAGGCACAGGGGGGGAAATGGTGCCAGCAGGAACCGAAGCAGTGTTCTGCCTGCTGTGTTCCGACTGCCGTGGGTGGCTGAGGCACAGTGGGGAAAGCAAGTGCCCCTCTAAGCGAGTAGTTGATGGAAATTCCATTGACTACTTGATTAGCTGATTAATCAAAATGTAATATCCCTAGTCTGGCCAGAGCCAAAGAGCAGGGAAAGGATATTGCTTTGGTGCAGGGACATTAGAAAGGCTAAGCATGAGCCCCTGCTAATTATATTCAATATGCTGGAAGGTTCAGCCGCTGAACTCCCAGGGCAGCCTGCTCTCCAGGAAGCCATTGTTAACTAAAAGTTTGAAGCTGTACCAAACCAGGTGCCTTCACCTCTCATTGGCTCAGTTAAAGAAGGCATCTTTCAGGAAGTAGGGCTAAGCTCATTGGCTACGTCTAGACTGGCATGAGTTTCCAGAAATGCTTTTAACGGAAAAGTTTTTCCGTTAAAAGCATTTTCGGATCAGAGCGTCTAGATTGGCATGGACGCTTTTCCGCAAAAGCACTTTTTGCGGAAAAGCGTCCGTGGCCAATCTAGACGCACTTTTCCGCAAAAAAGCCCCGATCGCCATTTTCGTGATCAGGGCTTTTTTGCGGAAAACAAATCTGAGCTGTCTACACTGGCCCTTTTGCGTAAAAGTTTTGCGCAAAAGGACTTTTGCCCGAACGGGAGCAGCATAGTATTTCCGCAAGAACACTGACAATCTTACATGAGATCGTCAGTGCTTTTGTGGAAATTCAAGCAGCCGTGGTAGACAGCTGGCAAGTTTTCCCGGAAAAGTGGCTGATTTTCCAGAAAAACTGGCCAGTCTAGACACAGCCATGTTGAATGTAATGGTGTACCCTGCACATAGATGGGGTAATGTATGAATGTGATTCTGCACAGCCCAGAACTAAGAGTAAAGGGATCCTTGTGTAAGTGGCCAATCCAATCAAACAGCATAAGCACTGGGCAAAAGAATAGGCACATAACCACTAACAAAAAAATAATTCATGGGAGACTTGTTTCAGTGGTTCATTGATATTCACCCCAGCAACAGCAGGTAATGACTGCCTGGTACCTGGGTATTTGCCTTAGATCTTAAACTCTGACTCACAATCAAGAAAGTATATTAAAGTTAACCTGGGATTAGTCACTGGGTCAATTTGTATCAGGGGACTAAGCATTGTTGCCTTGGTGGCAGCCATGAGATTTTACTTGGGCTGACAACTGCTCACCACTTGAGAATCATTTGCTCAACTGTTGAGCAGCAGTGGGATGAGTCTCTGAAGGCAAATAACTTGAGAACAATGTTGGACAGGTCTGAAGGTGCCTGCATGGACTTGGCAGGCGAGAATCCCTGGCTAAAGGAAGGTGCCAAAGTCCCTCCCTCCTCCAGGCAATAGATGAACCCAGGAGAACAGGAACTGTCCAGAGGCTAAAGATCCTGCTGTGTCACATACAAATCTCATTAATGCAGGGGAAACGGGAGTTGCCTGCTTTGGCAGATTAGTGTCTCAATGAGCAGAAAAAGAAAACCACCTTTCTTGATGTACTTGAAATCTGGACTGTTATTGAAGCATCCCTGTCCTCATCTGGAAGGCCAGGCCGTCTCCTCGGGTGGCTTGCTGTGAAGGAACAAACACACACTTATAGGCCAGTCTTCCTAAAGAATCATGCTTTGTACTTCCCTACCACTACCTGCAAGAGGCTGATAGGCCTCTACCAAAGTGAGTGATCACACCACTTCTACTCTGGCTACATAGGATTTATTATCCCAGAATTACAGATGAGAAAAACAGAGAAGCTGCAGTTTCCCAGAGGTCATGCAGCAAGGCAACAGAACTCAGCTTTTCTGCTCCCCAAGGCCTATGTTCTAGCCACAAGGCCATGCATTCTGCTTTACAGCCTCAGCTGAGAGCATTGCAGCTCCCAGAATTTGTCTCCATTACAAATGCCATCTACCTTGTTAATCTCTTTGTGTCTTTCTTTGGTGACAATTTCTTCTAGTATTTCTCCATCTCCCTTAATAAGCCTGTAACAGAAGCACATCAACACAACCAGTAAAGTCTACCAGCCATACAGTTACCAGTTACAAGCAACACATTGCTTTGTTTCCCCAGCAGCAGAAGGCATCATTTAATCTGCCCCTCCTCAAGGAGAAGCAACTAGATCACCTCCCTCACACCTCCACCCAGCAACTGTTTCACACTGAAGGAGACCACATTTTGCATGGGAAGAAGTCCAACAAGCTGGACTTGATGGATAACAGCACCTTCTGTGAAAGCTAGAACAGAATCAAGAGTCTCTGCCAGCACAGGCTGACTGCAACATGGCATCCTACACAATCTGTGAAAGAGTGGCAGGGGTTATTGCCAAAGAGAGTGGTATGAAGGCTCATCACAGGGTGGGGCTTTGTCCACATGCTGCTGTGACCATCTGGTGTAAACCTGGAGCAACTCCATTTATTAGTGTAACTCTGTAGTCTCTGTTTTAAAGATGTGGGCAGTTCCACTACAGAACACACTGAGTCAGGCTTTAATCAATCCTTATTTAACTACCCTTTGCAATCTTTTCCATAAGGTCGACAAAGTCCTGATCTATATGCTTCTTTGAAATATGCCATGTCCTGTATGTACTGGAAGCAACCTTCCTCTCCCAGCATTCCTCAGTGTAACTCTGTAGTCTCTGTTTTAAAGATGTGGGCAGTTCCACTACAGAACACACTGAGTCAGGCTTTAATCAATCCTTATTTAACTACCCTTTGCAATCTTTTCCATAAGGTCGACAAAGTCCTGATCTATATGCTTCTTTGAAATATGCCATGTCCTGTATGTACTGGAAGCAACCTTCCTCTCCCAGCATTCCCATGATGTAGGGCCTGCAGTGCCTGGGACAGGGGACTGCCTCACACCAAGCAAACCACAGAGGTCAGGCATGCTGCAAATCAAGCCTCTGGGGAAGTGCGCTGCAGGGAAGACACAAGCTAAGGAAAAAGGCTCTTCCATTACTCTGGAACTCTGCCTGGGGATTTGCTTGGCAATGGGAAACAGGGTTGGTTGTTCCCAGTCTCAAATGTAACACGTGCAAACAGTTTTCTGGATGACTAGAAAGGGTAGGGCACACTGCAGAGGTTTAAGTCCAATCCTTGTCGCACTTCAGTTGCTGGATCATCCAGTAACCAGAGATGTATTTGCCCTTTGGTACTAGAACTGGAATGGACACAGTGGGGCTAGAGCAGGGGAACCATCTAATCCAGTAGCAGAATCACTGGCAGTGCCTTACGGTAACTGACATTCATGCAAACATCTTTCCTACGCCCTGCTGGCTGCCTTCTATTTTAAGAACTGGCTTGCCACACACAATGTTCTTCAGCATCTTTCCTATCACAGTAGAGATGCAGCTTTGTGAAAACAGGGTCTTTTTTACTCCAGCTTTGAACACTAATTTGGATAGAAGCCTTCGGGCCCCTAGAATAGAGGGGTAATCAACCCCAATTATGCAAACAAACCCTCTGGCCAGATGAACTGGCTGTAATGGGGCCTGGATGCTTCAGAGTTGACAGGCAAGCATGAGCATTATCTAACAGGTCAGAAAACAGCAAATCTTAGAACTGTTGGCTAGATGTGCTGGTTCAGAGTTTATCCTCACACCATCGCGTAGAACTGCATTTACTTTGGGGAAATTGATCTGCCCCTCAGAGGAAGAAGGAAAAAACACTCGGACCTGAATTACAAGGCTTCAGCCAGATCTTGCAATAGTTGCTGCTCTTGTCTGCATTTTACACTTCACACTGAGAGCAGGCCATCAAGGACTGAGCTCTGTAAGGCCACCCAGGCTCTCTAATCTGATTGATTTCAGTAGTAACAGAGGCCATTCAGCACTAAATAGGAGGTCCTTAGCATCTGGCAGGATCAGACCCTTACTTTGCAGCTTCTAACAAGAATAGCCTCAGCCTGTCTAAACACAGCAAGCCTTTCTCTCCAGCCCTCCTTCAATTCTGGCACTTTGTTCTGAGCATCTCTGCAAGTCAAGCAGAGACCAGCGGGATTTATATCTTTATTGAATGCTTTAATCTCAAGCTAGCCTGATGGGTCACAGTGTGCAGCTTTGGTGTTAAGAGCCTGGCTAGTAATGTCAAGGTAACAATGATGGCTCAAGAGCTTGCTGCTGAGAGTAGCCCCCCCTCGAGAGGAGGTAAGGAGGGATTTAGTGAGAACCCTGCTTTTACAAACAGCAAGGAGCTGCTGCTAAACCTGCATATGATTCTGCCTTTCTTTGAAAAAGCCTAAATTACTACTGCTGCCCCATCTCCCTCCACCCTTCCACATACACTGCTAGGAAACCAAACTGTTTCACTGGTTTAAATATACAATGTGCATTTATCCATTGTTTAGAGCATTGCAGCTTGTAAACTCTTTGGGACAGGTACTGTGTCTTCCAATGTGAATGTATAACACAAGCTGATTTTGGGCACTACTGCAGTACAAGTGAGTCATCTTCAATAGACCACCGCTCTACACTAAGAGAGGTCTCCAATCTTTTTAAGCAAGAGATCACTGTTTGAATTTAAGTGCAATCCAGGATCCACCTGAAACCCAAAGACTCTTGCCCTGCCTCCTTCCCACCCCTTCTCCAAGGCCCGAGTTTGGGTACAGGGGGACTCAGGGCTAGGGTAGAGGTTTGGGGTGCAGGAGGGATTCAGGGCTGGGGTTTGGCATGTGGGCTCCAGCTGGGCACCACTTACCACAGGTGGCTTCTGGGTGGTGGTGCAGGGAGCTAAGGCAGGCTCACTCCTACTCCCAAAAGCAGCCAGCAAACTCTTTCCATCCCTGCCCCCTCTGTTCTGTGGAGATCGGACACAGGGCAGAGGGAGGGGCATCCTGACTAGGGATTTTGAATATTGACTAATCAAATAGTTGATGCATTTTGTATTAACTATTCGATTAGTCCATAGGATGCCTCCGCCTTTGAAGTGCAGCAACAGCCGTAAGGCAAAAAGGCAAAAGCTCTGCATGAAGCCTGGTGTCAGGCTGCATGTGACATTTCAAAGCAGCAGCGCCGCACAGAACCCAGAGTCAGTGGGGGGAGATCCCAGCTGGCCCCAGGCACCATGCAGTGTTTCAAAGCAGCAACATTACATGGAGCCCAGGGTCTGGCCTGAGGCTCCATGCAGTGCTGCTGCTTTGAAGTACCCCCTCTTCTCCTTCCCCCTTGCTGCCTTTTTCATATAGAGGCAGCAAGGTGGGGGAGGAGAGACTAGTCAACTTGTCATTCACATCCCTAACCCTGACATCAACCCTCCCCCCCTTCCTCTTCTTCAGGAGGCTCTCAGGGGTGAGAGGCACCTCCAAGGTAGAGGGCAGAAGCAACACGGCAGTGCTGAGAGGGGCAGTTGAAGTGCTGGCACTTGACAGCCTTCTGGACTATCTGCTTTGATACCAAACAGCTCAAGATAGCTAAGACCAAAGCAGACTGTGAAGAGCTTTAAAAAGATCTCACCAAACTAAGTGATTGGGCAACAAAATGGCAAAT